AAAGCTCAAGAAGATCCAGAGAAGGGCCACCTGCATGATCAGGGACTTGCATGGCAAGCCCTATGAGGAGACAAACTGAGAGAAAGCAGATTAGGCTAGACATCAGGAAAAACTTCTTCATAGTAAGGGTGGCCAAAATTTGGAATGGGCTTCCAAGGGAGGTGGTGCTCTTCCCTACCTTGGAGGTCTTTAAGAGAAGGCTGGATAGGCATCTGGCTGGAGTCATCTGACCCCAGCACTCTTTTCTGCCCAGGCAGAGGATCAGACTCAATGATCTGTTGAGGTCAATCCTTTCCAATCCTAGCATCTATGAAGAGATGGATCACACTGGAACAGCACCCGCACCCCTCTCATTTTTTGTTCCCCAAGCCAGAGTAGAGACCAAGGAAAGAAAGGATGCCTGTTTCCCTCAAAAAAAAATCAGTTTTACTGTACTGCTAGGATTGCAATACAGTAGAAATATTGAAGTAGCCGATAGTTGCAGGAAGAGACACAAAAATCTACAGATCTCAGATGGGCAATGTTTAGGATATGAAATATTTTATGGCTTGAAAGAAATGGTGAGACATGACTGAAGCCAGCCAGTGAATTATGTAGCCTTCAAATAGGATGCTTAAGGAAAGCCACAAAGATGGGCAGATTCATCAGTGAATAAAAAGATACTCCATAAAACATTTCCCACTCTAGGACTATTAAACACACATCTCATTTGAAGTGGTCCCGATTAATCCAAACCTGGGACAAAAGAGGAGCAGCACAGCCTTTTACACACATACCCCTGGTCACGCCTGCCTCTCTGACAGGCTTGTCCTTCTTAACTTGAATGAGCTTTATTCATAGCATGGGGGGAGGAGAAGAGGGGCTGAGGAAATGTTAGGACATTTTCTCTCTGGTCTTCTTCTTGCCTATGACTTCAGAAAGTTGACTCCTCTGACCATTTAAGTGTAGATCCATTAATATACTGCATTCTCTGGTACTTTACAGATACTTGAAGTGGGACAATAGACAGATACCAAGCTTGAAGTCTTAAGACTTCAAAAACAAATTTTAATAAGCTCAGGTCACTAGTGGAGAATGCCATGAGAGACCAAGGACCACAGGTAAAGGGAGTATGAGAAGAATGGTCATTCTGTAAGGATACAGTCCTTAAGGTTCAGAGAAAATCCATTCCCTTATGGAGAAAAAGTAGCAGAAGGGTCAAAAAAACCCCTCTTGGCTAAGCAGGAAAGTTGCAGCCCTCCTACAGAAAAAGAAAGAGGCATATAAACAATGGAAGCTTGGGACAGCCTCTAAGGAAGACTACTTGACAACGGCCCGCACTTGTAGAAACCCAATTAGGCACGCTAAGGCAGAAACCTAACTAAAACTAGCTACAAGAATCAAGTCCTTCTTCAGCTACATAGGGAGTAAAAGGAAAACTAATGGGAGTGTGGGGCCACTGCTCAATGCCTTGTTACTACCACTCAGGAAAAACTGCAACTCCTAAATGACTACTTTGCCTCGGTCTTTCACAAGACCAAGGGGAACAACATGCCAAGTAGAGCACAGAATGAGCAGGGCAGGATTGACACTGTTCCCACCATTGCCATAGAACTGGTGTACAATCAATTAAAGAAATTAGACGTATATAAAATCAGCAGGACCAGATGAGCTCCACCCAAGAATACTGCAAGAGTTGGGTGAAGTAATTGCAGAGCCCCTGGCAAAGGTCTTTCAAAAATCATAGGCCTCTGGAGAAATCCCAGAGGGCTGGAAGAGGGCCAGTGTTGTGTCCAACTTCAAGAAGGAGAAGCATGAAGACCTGGGAAACTACAGGCCAATTAGCTTAACTTCTATTCCAGGGAAAATCCTAGAAACATTCAAACTTGAAGAAGGCATGATACTGAGTGACAGCCAGCACAGCTTTGTCGCAGGCAGGTCTCGTCTGACCAACCTCATTTCTTTCTATGATCAGGTATCGCCTGGATGAGAGAAAAGCAATTGATGTCTTATAACTCAACTTCCAGAAAGCCTTTGACCTGGTATCCCATGAGGTACTGATCAGAAAAGTGGAAGATATCAGGCTCAACTGTGGCACCATCAAGTGGGTGTGAAACTCATTGCGGGGTAGGATGCAGAAAGTCCAAATGAATGGATCGGTGTCATCCTGGCGAGATGTGGGCAGTGGCGTACCCCTGGGGTCGGTACTTGGTCCAGTGCTGTTCAATATCTTCATGAACGACCTGGGTAAGGGGGTGAAAAGCCCATTGGCCCAGTTCACGGACGACACCAAGATATGGGGTTGTGTGGACACACCCGCAGATGCAAGCAGACCTAGACAGGCTGGCATGTTGGGCAGAACGGAACCAGATGAGGTTCAACGTAGAGAAATTCAAAGTGCTGCATCTGGGAAGGAAGAACCCCCAGCACACCTACAGGCTGGGCATCACTAACCTGACCAGCACTACACATGAAGGGGATCTGGGGGTAACAATAGACCCCGCCCCCAGCATGAATACGAGCCCGCAAGCAGCACAGTAGCTGCTAGGGCCAATAAAACTCTGGCATGCATCAATCGATGCATCTCCAGTAAATCCAAAGAAGTGATTCTCCCACTTTACTGAACATTGGTGTGGCTGCAGCTGGAGTATTGCATCCAATTCTGGGTGCCACACTTCAACAAAGATGTGCTAAAGCTCAAGAAGATCCAGAGAAGGGCCACCTGCATGATCAGGGACTTGCATGGCAAGCCCTATGAGGAGAGACTGAGGGATCTCGGACTCTTCAGCCTAAAGAAAAGACGGCTGAGAGGGGACCTGATTGTGGCTTACCACTATATCAGAGGTGTGTATCAGTGGCTCAGTGAACAACTGTTCACCAGGGCACCCTGGGGGAAAACTAGAAACAACAGCCACAAACTCCTGGAAGATAGTTTCTGGCTGAACATTAGGAAAAACTTCTTTACAACTAGGGTGTCCAGACTATGGAACAAGCTCCCCCCAGAGGTGGTACAATCATCTACCCTAGAGGTCTTCAAGAGAAGACTGGACGGTCACCTGGCTGGGGTCATCTGACCCCAGATGCCTTTCCTGCTCATGCAGGGGGCTGAACCCAATGATACTTTGCGGTCCCTTCCAGCCCGATGATTCTATGACTTGCATATCTGTAGGATCCTGGAACAATAAGCTTTCTCCAGGAAAAATGAGAAGCTGACTTACACCATAATGCTTTGAGAAGGTATCTGAGACAAGGACAGATCAAGTTAAACCTCAACTGCATATTATATACTTCAGGGACATTAATTTGCATCAGTTATAGGTATGTTTTATCCCATGAAACAGTTACTTTTTTTAATAGGTTTTGTGCTTTACCAGGACAACTGTTTAAGCCAAGTAATTTGCTGTTGCTTTGTAGAGTGTCCATCCTGGTCAGTGGTATCTGCTTGTTCCCCAGATACTATGAGTGTGTCCTTTGCGGTTCCATTTCTTCACGTATTATCAGTTCTATTTCTATACCAATTCCTTAATCCAGCGGCAGTTGACCAGCTAAAAATGTAAAAGTGTAAAAATCTAAAACTTTCACCTTTATAAAGCTGGCCCAAGGTCAACTTCCCCTGACCTTGGCTCAAAGAATTACAAACTACCTTTTATTCTATATGGTGCTTAAGAGATCTGAATCTCTGATTTTAAAAGTTTTCTTAGTGTATCCACTGTTGAAGCCTGAGGTACATTTCAAATCTCACAACATAAGCAAGTTCAGACTTCACAACACTTCAGGTGGGAAACGAAGAGGGAAACAGCTGCTCAAATTCTAGGGAATCAGTGAGCGGCATAGGAAGGGAGGGACCCTTCAAGATAGTACCGAACCAGTATCTTCATAAGGCTTTTAGTTATAATACTATTGGACCACAGTATTTTGGTGAAATGTTCACTTTTGTAAATACTAGGGCTGTGGGAAATTTCGCCGCCCGTTTCATTTTGAGCTCGAAACAGCAAAATCAAAATGAAACTAAGGGCTTCAAAATTGCCTCAAAACAAAACGAGGCTAGTTGAAATGTTTAGAGTTTCGAAGCAGGCAGCAACCAGGTGGTGGGAGACAGGGAAGAACCAGTGCTGCACTCCCAGCAGTTCCAGGCTTAGCCAGGTGGGGAGGACAGCCCCGACTCTCCCCACCTCCTGCGACTGGGGTGGGAAGTCAATCACAGCGCAGGGGAAGGGAACTGAGCCCTGGCTCAGTTCCCTGCTCTAGTGCTGCCTTCCCCAGCCTGATTGAAACTCAGCCTAGCTGGGCTGAGTTCCTTGCCCCAGCCGCATCTAACCCTGGGGAGGGGAACTGAGCAATCGGGCTCAGTTCCCTTCCCCAGTCCCCGGTGGCAGCACCAGCTTCCCTCCCTCATCTGGCAGGCAGATCGGGGTCAGTCAGCCCGGAGAACTGGCACAGCTCCAGCAGCCATCCCGGGGTTGGGCCCCAATCTGCCTGCCAGATGAGAGAGGCTGTTTTGAGCTTCCCTATTATAGCAAATGGGCAAAACGTCGAAGTGTTGAAACAGCCTCACTGTTTCGATGAAGTGAAATGAAACAGCTGTTTCTACTCTAAATTAAATTTGAAACAAAATGCTGTTCCCGTTGAAACCTCAAAAATCTAGTCAAAACAGAACAGTGCTATTTTGCACACCCCTAGTAAATACCAATTGTGCCTGCTTCAAATTACACCCTGGATTCAAATTAATGCAGTATTATTCATTCACATGCTGCGTGATGCTAAAACAGTTTTCATAGTCTAGTCCCGAGGTAAAGTATTTCAGTGGCTGGTGAAGAGGCTACATTTATACATACAATAATATCAAATGGCTTTAAAACACAAGTGTATTATTATGTATATATAATGCATAAACTCTTACCAGAGGAAAAGCAGGTATGAAGAAGATTTGACGCAAAATCTCCAGAGAAATATCAAAGCAGACAAATCTACATTGTTTTTTTACACAATTAATGTCTATTTTTGAAAAGATGAAAAATGCAGATGTTACAAACAATCCATTTATTGGGTTTTAAACTAGGTACACGATTGAAATAATTTTGGCACTACGCTATACAGTGGTTACATCTGTGTGCTGACGTTTACTAAATACTGTACTAGGAACACTGCTGTGCTTTTAAGTTTGGATTGAGTCTCATACTCAGCAGGTAGATGATTCAAATTGTATCATAGTGTTCCAGTTTGGCTGTACGAAAGATGAAACACACACCAACTTGGGAATTTATTTCAATGTAGGAAGTACCTTGCATTCTATAAACTTACCACATCAAAACATGTGATGTCTTCATTTAGAGATGGCCACAAACATTGCATTAAAAATCTGCATCAGATATAAGTAATGAGATCAATGAAAACCCAAAACAAAATAAAATCTCTGCCTTTTAGACATGGAAAGATATTCTGTTAAAGAAAATAATTTAAAAAAAACTAATGGCATTTGATTTGATACAAAAGCCAAAACCACTATAGTATTAACATTTAAGTGTGAATCTTTACAAAATAATCTCACAATGGTGTTATGTAAAAGGTTGCAAACTGTACAATGTTTCATCAATGCAATGCCTCTACAATTTATACAGTCTTTTACATCTATGTAACACATATTACACATGTCATTAAATAGCCAATAGATATCAGTCTCTGAACAAAGTTGCAGGCAAAAAAATAAAAAATAAAAAAAATAGAACTTCCACTATCTTAGCAGTCTCCCATTTATGCAAGGGATGCTTGTTCAAATAGCAACTAAGAGTCTTTGTAAATGAGGGTATCTTGTTTAAAAAAAAAAAAAGAAAAAAAAGTCAGCCATTCAGTGCTTTTATGCACAAAGCATATATTCTTCATTCTATTAACTGAAACATTGCTTGAGACAAGAACTTCACATCTATGGGCTCTATTCATCTGAAAGGATCCCCAGCCTTTCCACCCGCCTTAGAAAGCTGCAGATGATCATGGTTGTGTGTTCTGCACCTGGTTGAGCTTCTATTAGAACTCAACTAGGCCACGGAAGTTTTCCCACTTCCTGCCCTGCCGATCTAGGCTGCAAAAAGCAGAATGGATATTTACATTTATATAGAGATTATAAAAAGTAATCCAGATCTGAGGTGGATTAAATGATACAGGGCCATCATCTAATGGGTGCTCAAACCCACACAGTGAAAAATAAATCCTTTGTGAAAAAAAACTGGCTCCTGGTCTTGCAGGTCAATCAGATAAAAAGTTAAATCAACCAAAATTGGAGAGGTTCACTGAGAAGGTTCCGACTCACACAATCCTGTGTGTTCTGCATATTTACCGCTTAAAAATAGCTGGGGATGTGGAGGAAGAGAGAAGATGAGATGAGAGAAGAGACATCCGGCTTAAGCCACTGTGCATGAGAAATAACTGCAGTTTTGTAACACAGGCCAGTGACATGGTACTTTGTAACATGTCAGAACCAGGCTCCACAGATGCAGTTATGGAAGACTACAAGGCTCTCATAGCTGCTCCCTGTGGAGTTGGAGTTCTTGATGAATAGAGCCCTCTCAGGACTTGAATATTCGCATTTAAAGATAGTTCCAAAACCAAGTTCTCTACACGATAAATTAGTTTCGAGTTTCCTTTATTTTGCGGAAATGTTTCTACATCCTCATTTTCCAAATGAAACCTGAAACAGAAATAGTTACAAAAAAGTTAATACTGTAGAACAAAATAAAAACAAAAATAATAATTTCCCTTCAAAACTAACAGTTTCAGCAAACAGGAAATCAAAGTTATACAAGCCAAAGACTTGTACTTGCTCTTAGGGTAGGGTGAAGTATAGAGAAGTACTTCAATGTTTCTTCAGTGATGGGTCCTGTGACAGACGCTCAAGGGGAAGCTAATTGGCGAAGGGGTGGGAGCAAAGGGGGACCACAAAAAATTTAGTCTAAAAAAAGTGTAAGGAAGGGAATACACAATAAACACACAGCCGATCATTATCAGTCCTTAGCCAACAGGAGATGCTCCCCTGAGCTGGATAAAGTGTTAGTTTGGAGAGAACACTCTCCTCTGGATTTGAGGCCCTTTTCCTTCACTCTGTTCAAGTAGATGGCTACAGCAGATTTCACAAAAGGCAGCAGTGTTTCCCCAACTTAACCAACACACATGCAAGTTTACCTTATTTATGCATAATAGCAGGGTGATACTAAGAGGTCTGTAAGGACAAGCAGCTGGTCATCAGTGAACTGCTGTTTGTGCTCTTGCCAATTGTCATGGTGGGTCCTCCGGAAATTGGACAGTGTTTTCTTTACAGTCATCTGTGTAAGAAAAAAAAATATTTTTATGAAATCATTTTACATATTTTAAATCAAGGGAAGGAGGAGTGTCCAAGGGATTATAGATCACTCCATCTGATCTCAGTACCAGGAGAGAACATGGAGAAGGTTAGTAAGGAAATTTCCAAGCAACTGAAGGAAAACAAGGAGATCCAAAACAGTCAGCATGGATTCATCAAAAGCAACTCATGCCTAACCAACTTGATTTCCTTCTGTGACAAGGTGAAGGGCTCTGTGGATGGGGGGAAAGCAGCAGATATAGTATATCTTGATTTTAGCAAGGCTTCTGACACCAGTATCCCATGACAATCCCATTAGTAAGCTACGGAAATACAGACTAGATGAAAGTATTGTAACACAGATACACAACCAGTTGGATCAATGTGCTCAATGAGTAGCCTTCAATGGCTTGATGTCTAGCTGGGATAAGATGCAGTATAGGGTTCCCCAGGAGTCCATTCTGGGTCCAATATTGTTTAATATGTTCATTAACAGATTTGGAGGATGTGAATGAGTGCACATTTGATAAATTTACAGGTGACACCAAGCTGGGCAGAGATGCAGACATTCTGGGGGTAAGGCTAGGATTCAGATTACCTTGATGAATTGGAGAAGTGGTTCAAAATCAACTACATGAAATTCAGTAATGACAAGCGCAAAGTCCTGTACTTAGATGCAGAACAACTGGATGCACAAATACAGACTGAAGAATGATTGGCTAGGCTGTGGTACCGAAGAAAAAAGACCTGAGAGTTGGAATGGACCATAAGCTGAATATTGTCACAACCCAAAGTTGTGGTTTTTTTGTTTGTGTGCGCTTCGGCATCGCTAAATCATGTTCCCGCCAAAATTGCAGCTCTTTTGCACGGTGGAGTGTTCTGTTGCAACAGAGGACCCACGTGCAGGAGCTTTTCCCGCCAGTTCTATAGCTTTCTTTGCATAATGCATTTCTTTTGTATTATAGTGATGCACAATGCAAAGGAGTTCCTGCCATTTGTATTGAGATTCGAGCCACATTACTGGCCAGGCTTAATGTAGGCACATGTGGCTGCTAGCTATTGGCTTGCTAGCCGTACAAAAGGCTTGGGTAGTTTCCGCCCAAGTCGGAGAGAGAGAAAGCACGTGGAGTTCGGGAAAGGAGCGTGAAGATCTCTAAGCGCTGCTGATCCATACGAACCCAGCTTTTTCCTTAAGAGGGCAACAGAGGTTTAATTTGTCGAACCCACGGAGCTTCAACAACTCCGGGGAACCTATTTACCGTACCCTCGGAGCCTTAACGACTCTGAGGCAACTAACCTCTAGCCTCTCCCTGTCGCCGATCGCAGCCCAGACGTATCCCTGTCCTACGGACCCCATTGTCAAACCCACGGAGTCTTAACAGCTCCGGGGGACCTGGGAACCGAGTAACACTCACGGAGATACAGCTGCTCCGTGGGAATGAATTCTTGAACCCGCGGAGCCCGATTCACTCCGGGGTCAAGGAACCGAGTTTATTAGAGTCCTCCACCGAGAACTCAAGCGGAGCTGTGCCTGAAAAGCTGACCAGCCTACACCGTGACCACCTTGGGTGTAAGTAAATTAATCTTTTCAATCAACCATTACGCCTCCGTGACTGAATCTAGCTCGAGCATACTATACCGCACCGCGGTTTTCTCCAGCCCCGTGTGCCCGGGCTGCCGGCCACAGCCTGTGTGCACAAAGACGGGCCCCCGGCTCGCACGTGGTGACCCAGATGGGATCGGGAGAGAGCTCGCACATGGCGATCCAGGCGGGATCGGGAGAGGGCCCGCACAAATATGAGCCGATGTGCTCTTGTCGCAAAAGAAGCCACTGGTGTACTGCGTGTCACTAGCAAATCAAGGAAAGTGATCTTTCCATTCTATTTGGCACCGATAGGCCTCATCTAAAGCACCATGTCCAGTTTGGGGCTCTGCACTTCAAGAAAAATAGGGGCAAATTAGAAAGAGAGCAACAAAAAAATGACTCAATCTGGTAAACATAACTTATGAAGGAAGACTCATTTCTCTTCAAATGACATCTGATGAAGTACATTTCTACCTAAGGTCATGCTTCAGACCCAGGCTAGGAACAGATGTTTCATTTGTCCCAGGACAAGCTGTCCCAGCAGAGAAGAGTCCCAGGATTGGCATGTAGACACAATGCTCTTCCAATCAGGGTTTAATGAGCAGTCAAATGCACTGCTATTTTTCTGCCACTGATTCAATGATGCAATCCTAGGACAACTATTCAGATACACTTTATAACATCCCAGTACAAACTGTTAGCACTTCTTATCCCACAAACTTTTTTAGGGTTTGTTCTGCAACAAACACGGATGTCTGAATGACTGCACTTTGTCCCAGGATAAAAGTTTCTTCCGGGATAAATACAACATCCATTTCTATCCTCAGTCTCTAACCAACCACCTGGCCTGCCTTCTGCTTAATTTCAGACAGAATGTGGATTACCATGTCTATCTTCAAATTGAGGACAGAAAAAACCTAGAATTATTTAAAGCAGGTTACACAAACAGTTAGCCTCAATGGTTGAGTCAAAGATGATCATGCCTTGAGCAGGGACCTGAACTAAATGACCTGACATTCCTTCCAGCTCTACTTTCCTATGATTCTATATCCATCAAAAGATCCCAGGAACAGAATAAAAAAATATTTTAAATGCAATAGGAAGTGCTTACAGTTTTGAAGAAACTGCTGCACTAGAGTGTGTATGCATGTTGGGATTTTTTTTTTTTGAAGCTATTAAGGACCCCAAAGAAGTATCCAATCTGGGCCTCAGGTTTCGTATTTTTGCAGCTCTAGTTTTTACTTCTTATCTCTCAATCAGTAGTTGCCAAGACTCATGAACCAAGGGCACCTTTTGCAAAATTTTTGCAAGCCTGAAGCCACTTATGATACGGTCTAAACCATATATAAGTTAAAACTGTTTTCTTTCTTCCTCTTGAATTTCAATTTTATTTGCACTGGCAGTGGGCTCAGGTGCCACTGAACCCACGCCCCAAAAAAATAATTTTGGCTCTCTCCATATGAATAATTTGCAAGGAACGCTGGAGACGGATCATTTAAGGAGAGGTTCCAACAATTATTATTAGGAAGAGAGAGCAGGACACAGTCAGCGAGTGCTCCCTCTTCCCACTCCACCTCCTGGAAGCAGAAGATTAGAGGCTTCATGCTGCCCCCACCCTCCTGCTGGAACCAA